AGGTGTGGCTGCTCGATCTCAAGTTCGTCCTTCTTGAGTCGAAAGTCTACCTTTCCATTCTTGATTTCGAAGTCAAGATTGGGCCTCTTGATTACTTCGATTTTGTCTTCGCGTTCTAGGTTCTTGAGTTGTTCTTTGACCTTGCGAATGAATTTTTTGTTTCCGTCGTCTCGTCGCATCACACAGATGGATTTGGTCGGGATGTCGTCCGATGGGGTCCCTTCTTCCTAAGGGATTGTTTCTTGTTTCGTCGTGCCATGTGGACGAGATTACCCATGATTTCTTCTGTGTCGGGGCCCTCTTCGAATTTGAGGAGTTGCTCCTTGTACTTGCCTGAAGTCTTTGCATGATTCTTTCTTCAAGGAGATGAAGGGTATCCTTCATGATGGGGTCTGTCTTGGCCTTCTCTTCTATATTCTGGCAGATTTGAGAGAGTATGGCGACACATTCGATGTTGTTATCCTCGAGAGGTGAGAGGTCGGTAGATGGGTATCTCTTCTTCTTTGGTTGCCACCGCTAGGGTCTTGACAGGTGGTGGGGTGGTGTCGTATCCGGGTCGTTCGTTGTTCTTGGTTTTTAGGGTACCATCCGGTTTGTTCCTTACTGTCTTGGTGAATAAGGCAGTTGTCGTCGTAGCAAGCCGTCCATGAGAGTTGTGCGTGGGAATTTCCTTGCTCGCGATATTGGCTCGTTTTTCTGGAACGGGTTGGTGTTGGATGCGTTTGGGTTGTCGGCAGTCTCTAGCCATGTGTCCTGGCTTGTCGCAGTTGTAGCATTTGAAGTCCTTCCTGGGGCGGTTGTCTTCTCTTGGCGACACTGAGATCCATGGGACCGTCATGTTGTCCGTAGGCAGTGCTTTGTCGGTTGTTGTTCCAGTTGTTGCGAGGTCGCTGGTTCGCCTGGAAACTGCGTTGAGGTTGCCATTGGTACTTGCGTCCGGTGTTAGGTCGTTCCTTCCTTTCCTTCTTGCGTTCATAGAGTCGGTTGTCAATTCTGATGGCGAGTTCTCCGTACTGAAGGAAGTCTTCTGGTCTGTCGAGCTTGACCAGCTCGTCCTTGACTTCGTCCTTCAGTCCTTGGTAGAACATGAACATTTTGGTGTCGTCAGTGAGGTCCAGTTGGGCACTGAGACGTCTGAATTCGGCGGAATATTCTTTGCCGATTTGGTTTGTCGTAGCTGCGCTAGGTCGCGTTCAGCTTGTCGTTTCTCGTCAGGGTCCTGGAATAGGGACCTGAGAGCTTCTTCGAATCCATTGAAGTTACTGTAGATGTCGCGTACTTCAGTAGAGCACTCGTCAAGAGTTTCTTTGCTGAGATATTCTTCCTGGATAGGTTCAAACCACTTGAGGGCTCGTCCCTGAGGAAGCTGGCGGCGTGCACAACTTTCTCGGTTTCGCTGGTGAAGTCTCCGTGATGGAAGTTCTGATAGTTTTGACTTGAATCAGAAATCCCTTGAGAGTACCTGGGGTGCCGTCATAGGTGATGGGTGCGCTGAGTTTGAGTTTGTCGTCCTCCCTGGATGGGGTACCAATGATGTTGGCAGCGGCTCGAGAGTGTTGACTCTCCCTGAAGCGCCTGAACATTGGTACTTGCTTGTTCTCTGAGTCGGATGACTTCGTTCTCCAGGTCCTGAATGCGCTGAGGCCATTCCCGAACTGCTGGATCATGATCTTGAGGTTTGGAGCTCATTCGCGGTTTCGTTGTACATGGTCTGTACCTTGGCGATGTCTGCGTCTCCTTTCTTGACTCTCTCGCGGAGTCGATCGTAGGTCTCTTTTTGAGGTGACCTCATCGTCGGAGTCGACGTTCATAGGAGCTGTCTCCATTTCCTCGGCCAGGCTTCGAACAGGTTGTTTGGAAGAGGCTGAAGAGCCCGGGGTAGGAGATTTGGCTGAGGCGCGGGACGACATCGTTCGTACTGTTTAGTTAGTTTTTCGTAGAGTGAACTTACTGAACAGGAGCAATCAAAGTGTTACGGCCAGCTAGTCGTAGTGAGTATGTTAGCAGAAGTTGAGGCTGCGATAACTAAGTAAACAGTGTCGTAGTCGTGGATAGCTTCCCTGAAGCTATGTCTGTAAATCGTAAGGTGGGTAAGGCTTCGGTGATCAATCGTAGTCTTGTCAGAAGGGTTCTCAGTGAAGATAGCTGAAAGCGATCGTAAGATCTGATACTAAGTTGATTGCTGAAGAAGCTATGGAAGTCTGTCCTGTGCCCGGCTCAAGTCCACACTATATACAAGTCTCGTTCCTGAACATATTCTTTGTCCGTATGTTTACCCAACGGTTCCCGTGTTCTGAACATACGGGTTCCGTATCGTGAAAGGACGGACCCCGTATCTCGAACGTACGGAGTTCCTTATCTCTTATCGTCACGTGACTTGTCCCATAGTTCTTCCGTCCCGAGAGGAGTCGCCCTGAGTTCGTGTTCCCGCATATATGGTGTGGTAGCCGCCGTAGGTCCTGTGGGGCAGGCCCTGGCCTTGTCATGCGTGTTGGGTCGTAACAAGTTATAATATTATATAAGTATATACGTAATTAGTTATTAAGTTTATAAAAAAAATCCTCGCTTATTTATTAAAAAAAATAATTAATAAGTATTTAAAAAGTACGGTTATTAAAATATTTAAATTATTATATAGCTTCGTAAAGTTAGGAACCTATTAATAAGTAATATATTACGACTTTTATATTAACTAATTATTAATAATTATATTAATATATAATCCTTACTTCTTAATTTTTACGTATATAAACGACTTATTTAATATTGTTAAAATATAAATAAATAATACCTTAAATTTATTAAATACTAAGTTTATAAAAAAGAGGATAAGGAGCTCAAAAGTAATATTCATAGCTAAGTTAAAAGAGATTTTTATAATAAAATTTTTATTAATATTTAATAAAGGGATCTTTATAATTAAGGGGATAATATAGTTTTTTAATAAAAGGGTAAAATAAGAAAATTAACCTTATTAACCTAACTTCCCTAATTATAAAAAATAATATAAAGCTAAGCTCGTACAAAGAGCTTATATTATAAATATTTATTAACCTAAAACTATTTTTAATTATACTAAAACTATATAAGTTATAAAGCTTATAAAATACGATTTTAATATTCTTAATTAATAACTTTAATAATAATAAGATAACTATAGCTATAGTTTTATTTATTAATTTATTAATTTAGTTATTAAAGCTCTATATATTTATTAATAAATTATTTATAAATAATAATAACTTAACTCTATATTTAAAATATATTATTATCCTTATTAATAAGACCTTAATAAGAACGATTTTACAATTTAAAGTAATATAATTTATTACTTATTAACAAAGAATAAGCAAGTTATTAAGAGCGTATTTATATTAGAAATTTATAAAATAGTAAATAATATAAATATTACTTATATAATTTTTATTATATTTAAAAATTATAAATTAACTTAATTTTTATAATCTTTATAATTATTTATATTAATTTATACTTATTATACGAGTACTTTATTAAATTAAGTATTATAAAAAAGAGGCTTATAATTAATATTATAATCTTTAAATAGTTATATAAATAACGAGAGATCTTTAAGATTTATTAAATTAATAAGGACAATAACCTAACTAATACTTTTATAAAAGCTATACTTAATAAGGGTTAAAATAATTCGTTAGTAAAAAAATAATTATATAAATAAAAAATAGGTTATATAAAAGAGTAGTAAAAGGAAAAAGGGAAATTTAACGGGCTAATTAGAGGTTAAATTATACTTCTAATTACTATTATTAAATAATAAAAAAAAAAAAATTAGTATTAAATTAGAAGTTTAATTTAACCTCGTAATAATATAGGGGCTACTTATTAATTATATAATTAATTACTATAGCTTATTTAACTTATAATTAAAATCTCCTTTTTATATATATATAATAGAATTATATAGTTAATTAACTTATTACTACGTTAACCCACGGTTTGAACTAATTGACTAATATCCCTGTGATAGGGATACTAATACTTATAGTTCTGTAAAAAAAGACTTCCTCTTTGTGGTGTGAGTCTAATAAAATGGCCTCTCGCCCATGCCCGAGAAGCACGAGCCATATGTCTCGAGTAACTTGAGTAGCAGATAGCTTGTCTTTTTCTACCGATGCACGATGGCTCAACTTTCATAGCAGCGTTGTCACTTTCAGTCCCCTTTGTTGCCCATTATTCCTACGCCTAGCTCTGGTTTCCTCATTGTTCAAATCTGGAGCGAATCAAGGCTTTTATTCACTTTGCTCGAAAAATTTCGGCATTTAGAGGTGCCAAGGTAAACACTTAACCAGGTTCGCGCGCACAGGTTTCGTCCGTGTTTCTGATGATTTCTATTGGCGGCGGTTGAATAAGAAAAGCCGTCGTCCAAACCAAGTCTCCGAAGCACATACCATCCCGGAGTTCTGAGCCGGGATGGCGCGGTGGACTTCGGACGTGGAGGTGAAGCCCATTAGTGTAACTTGTGTCCATGCCTACGGCTACTTCACCCACTCATTGGGATGAGACTGCTCCGGCTCTCTCATGTACTAGTGTTTCTGTGAGATATACGAGCGCATCGGAAGCAGTATAATGTTCGCTTCCAGATGATGGCGTCGACTTGGTCAGCCGTGAACGGATCCTAACCATCCGCAACGGATAGAAGTGCTCACTCTAATCATTAACTTGATGGCGGAACCAGCCGTCAAAGTTGCCAGGGAGATAGGAACATATATCAGTTGTCTCGTCATCGTCATGAGGGTTGGTTCAAGCTGGCAACGTACAGCTGGGTCAAAGTTCTAGGCTCACTATGTTGCTTGCAGAGGCGACTTCACATGTATACGACACATACTACACAAGAAACAAATGTCATTTTTCACATGCGATGGAGAGTCAGCCATTGTAGAAACTTTTCTCTTCAGAAGAATATAAAGCCGCCACAAAGTCAACTTTGCGAAGACCGTACTAATAATAAAGAGAAATAGCCTTCAATCCGTAACCACCTCGTCGTCGCGCCACATCTCTTTGGTCTCTTAGTGATGCTTGATTTAGGGGGAGAGGGAGATGCAGTCAGCGGAGCTGTCCTCCTGGAAGATGCCACCGTAGATGATACCCTCGTTGATGCCGGTGGGCTGGTCACCGCTCTTGGTGATGTCGGAGCCACCGTTGACGGGCTTCTTGAGCATACCGAAGTGGTACTGGCCCTGGCCGGCAATGTTGTTGGCAACAGCGGCGCCGGTTGACTTGAGAGCGGAGTTGCCCTGGGAGTAGAAGACCTCGGTGGTGCTGAAAGACATGTTAGCGATGAGGTCTAGAGAACGAATCCGAAGACTTGGGAAGGGGAACATACTTCTTGGTGAAGTCGAGCTTGATGGCAAAGTTGTGGAAGACACCGGCAGTGAACTTGGTCTTGAAGAGCTCGGGGACGGGGCTGGAGTTGACGTTGCCGAAGAGCTGAAGGGTGTCGGGGTCGGCGGTGTTCTGGCCGAGGATGGTACCGGTCTTGAGGACGACCTGGTTGGTGCTGAAGTCGGCGCTCTCGAGGAAGACGAGCTGGTACTCGTGGGACAGGTTCAGGGGGCGCTGGGCATCCTTCTGCAGGGAGAAGTGAAGGGTCTTGATGCCCTGGGTCGAGGCGTCCTTGCCGTCGTTGCTGAGGGGCAGCATCTCGGCGCGGCGGAAGCCGACCTGGACGTTGGTCTCGCTGGGGGCGAAGATGGACTTGTCGTTGATGGTGACCTCGAAGGGCTGGGTGGAGTTGACGTCGAACTGGGGAATGGGTGTTAGTTCAAGTGTTTTCCGTTAAAGACAATCCGGGAATATAGAATCTGGTTCCGGACCGCCTCGCTCTCAGGTCAAAACTTACCAGGGAGTTGCCGCCGGGAAGCTGGACAATCTCGCTGAACTTCAGGCCCTTGCCGAACACATTGGCGGTGTTGAAGGGGCTGGAGGTGCTGTCAAAGTCGGCAGCCTTGAAGGTCTTCGGGATGCGGCCATCGAACTGGAGGGCGCACTGGGCCTTGGTACCGGGGGAAACGGCGCCGGTGTTGTTCTTGGGGGTGGTGCCGTCGCAAGCGGCCGCGGCGGCGGCGACGAGTGATAGAAAGATGGTAGAAGCGAACATTGTTCCTAGGCCGGCTACGAGCGGGTGTGTTGTTTGTTAAAAAAGAGTGTGGTGATTTGGAAAATAAAGCGTCCAGATGAGACGAACAGGAAAAGAATGTGAAAGGAACGTGAAAAGATGATCTACAGAAACTCAGAAGTCCGAGCAAGAGAGGCCGCAAGTTGAGACGGTGGGAACAGTTGACCATTTGTATGCCCACCACGGTCCCACGAAGTGACCAGCATCGTCTGATCTGATCTGCCCTCCTCTGGGTGTCTGGCACGCGATTCCGAGATTTGGCTTTGGGTTTCGACATCCCGCAGTGGCTACCTCCCTTCAAGCTCTCCGCCCGCCGTTTAGCGCTGCCCCTTACTCTCCAGAAACTTTTGAGTGCTGTCTGGGATTGAATGGGGTTCACTTGCAAGTTCCGTGTCATGCCCCCTTGGCATCTGTAACTCGGCGCGCCTCGTCAGCCTGAACCGTGCTGTTGGGTAAACTCGCAGTGATTTGGTGCTCCGTAGCAGCAGCCCTCTTCTCCTGGCTGCAGAGAGAGGCAAGGTTACACCCCGTCAGAACCCAAATAGAGTTTCCCGCTGATTCAGTTTCGGAACCACCGCCCCGTTCGGGGTTGGGTGCACGGGGCTCAAGTCGGCCAGCCTGGGGAGCAAGACTGGGAGAGAACTCGCAGCGAACAAATCCGGCGGCGGATGTCTGCGGGCGCGAGTCGTGTTAGATTGCCAGTGTCTGGTTTCCACGAAGAGCCTCGCTGAAAGTCCTTGAAAACTCCGGACCTCCCGGCATCAACGGGGCACCGAGTCCTCGCGCCACGTGGAGGAGTTGCAAAGCCGCAATATGTCGATGCCCCTGATATTAAGGGGATATTGGTACCAAGACAAAGTCTCTGCGCCCGGATTCGTTGGCTAGATAGCATCATCGTTGCGTTCGTAGATCATTGCTTGCGCAATCTGGTGATGGGGTTCTCAATGGGGTCTGAGGTTCCGCACGATGCCGTCCGGTCACAGTCCGGATAGTTCAGGCGGAGTTTTATGACGAGATGGAACAAAGTATGTCTCTCAGTGGGCAGTTGCAAAGACTAAGTACAAACTGTTCCATGTGCAACTCCGCGACTGACGAACCTCAAACTTGGCTCCCAGCCCTGATACGCAGATCCCCTCTGCATCTCTGACATTGTCAATAAAGAACTCAAGAAAGTGTCCGGAGATGCCCACGAAACGTTGTCTCCAGACGGAAGGATAAACGAACACATCGGCCAATTGCTCAAAAGTCGGCGCATGTGCAGGCGCAAAAACTCTTCCACTCTTTTCGCAAAGCCGAGCCGGCGGGAGGAGAACCCACAATCATATATTCAATGTTTCCAATATCCGCCAGCGGTTATTAACAGTGAAACTCTATATCGCCAAGGCTAGTCTGAGACGCCCTAACACGGCGACGATATCACCCTTCTGGCGACCCGACAACCGAAAACGTTCTAGAATGGGTCAGAAGAGCTGCCAGAATTGGTCTCGGAGATCGAGCTACTGTGACTTTTTTCCCACGTCGGCGGGAACGTCAGATAAACAACGTCTTCAGCCCGCAAACTGGTGGTTCCCGCGGGTTATAGAACGCCGTCGGGAACACTTACACGGCCACTAACGCCTGTGGATACAGTGGAGTTGTTGACAGAGGCAGTGGCACTTGATTTGAGACAGGGTTGCGCGCGCTCAATTATTCTGCCTTGGCGTGGTGCGTATTTCCGCTTAGTCACTGCAACTCGCTCTGTAATTCGACTCTTTGTGCCGAGATGTTTACTGAACTGTCTCTGTTAGACCGTTACATGCGACGAACATTTCGTCCAAAGCTCGCTTCAATTGTGCTCAAAATGACGCGGCGACGTGTTCAGATTGCAGTACAGCGTTATGAGACGAACAAATTTTGTCTGATTGCAAAGTGTCGTCATATTTCTGCCCACGCTCGTGAGTCGTGGCTCGTCTCCTCAAAAGCTTTGATCCAACAAAAATGGGGTCATCTTTGAAGAAGCATTCGCGGGATCCACATGCGTGAAGGATCAATACCTAGCCAAAAATCCCACTGATGATCTCCCGACAAGGTCCGAAGCTACCACGCCGCAATGGAATCCGTGCAGCATTTGGTTGACCTGTCTATATAAGAACGAGCCCTCATAATAGGGTAGTTGATTATACTAGCTTTCGTTTCTTGCCCATAGTCACAACTCAGTTGCGTAGGAGACGCGGCCATGCATCTGATGGAGGTGGTTCAGGAGATGGATCCTGAAGACATCATATTGAGGCCTAAGTCCCCAGAAGTTGGACGCGTTGCCCCAAAGAGGTTTTCGATGGCCAACTTGGAGAGCTTGGTGGAGCTGAGAATTCGACTGGACTGTTGGGCCTCAGGTACATGGTAAAAGTCCTTGAAGCACAGGGTCTTTGAATCACGGTTCGCGGCCCACGAAACCAGAGGTTTGATGGTTAGAACATCCAAGCGTCCCCTCAAGTTCCCCGAGAAACTCTTGACCAATGTGTCATGGGTCTTCGTGCTCATCGCCAATTCAGCTCTCAGTGAGGATCCTGTGGTCCGTGTTGAAGTTGCTACTACCTGTCAAGGAGAGTTAAAACCCCAAAGCCAAATGTCATCATTCCATGACTACAACCATCCGTGAACACATACAAGAGCAGACGTGAGGTCGAAGATAATCGATTTGTGCACTCCGAGTTGCGTCAAGGCTTGTAAGCTCTTTTAGTGCTTCAGGCGAGGACTCGAAAGCGGCACTTTGCTCGAGGCCCAGACCATCCAACAAAGCAGGTATACCTCCAGCCATCATCTCTTCATCATAAAGAATGCATAACACAAACCTTCACCTCCAATTTCGCCAACCTCTCAAACTATGTAGTGCATATGCAGTCACTAGCATTAGGATAGAGCAAGTATGATAGACGCAGGAGAAAGTTCTCGAGATTAAAATATAGAGGTAAAGAGAGGCAAGGGAGTCAAGGTGGTGGATAGCGGAGTATCACGTTGAGCGTAGTGTTGTCTGCTGTTATGATTTATGACCATCAGCCAAATCCATGAACCATGTTAGATGCTCATGATGGGGTCCCAGAAGTAAAACTTAGAGAAGCCGTCTTTGGTGGCAAATATAGTAGGAAGTAAGATGTCAGAGAGCTGAAGAGACGCATACTTACATGAATCGATTATTATACGTCTTATAGAGACTCAAGAGTGCCTCGCATACTTGCCCTAAACTCCATATAATATCAATAAAGCTGCCCTATGATCACAAAACCCGCACATGAATCTTCCTAGCAGAATGAAAATATCGATTAATGGTATCTGGTGATATCTTCAGAAAACGAAACAGGCCATGTCCCCCATCTTTCGCCATGCAACGCCACTCAATGCCAATCATCAAAGAACAAAGAGAAGCAACAATGAAACCCAACGATAAGAACACATCCGCATCTCAATAACCAGTTCATCGCTCCTTGGGAAACTCAAACATGCTTCCTCTTCTTCAACCACCTCTTCACAATATACCGATACGCAGCCTCCTCAGCAGGCCCGACGGTACCTCGACCAAGACTCATCCTCCGACTATCACGTCCCGCTGCCGTCGCCACCACCGCCGCCGCGTTCGTCCTCGTCAGTAAAGCCATGGACCTGGAATAGGGGTGTGTAAGCGGCGGTGGTCGGTAAAAAGACCCGACGATGACGTTTCCAGCCCGCCGGGCCCTCTGCTGCTGCTGCTGTTGGGTCTCCGCACCTTTGATGAAGTTTGTCTCCTGTTCCCAGTGCGTCGGGATGTGGAGAACTTTGCTATGAATGACGTTCATGGCGAGGACTGCGTCTTCTGCGCGGACGACGAGGCTGGGGTAGCGTTGGTTAGCGTGGGTGATGGATCATGGAGGGATGTTGACGAGGTGCCAAGGGGGGGGGGGGGGTTGACTTACGATATGTTGATCTCGCTCGCTCCTTGGCTCACCATGAAGATGTTGATCTTGGCTGATGCTAGGGCAGACATGATCTCTGCTGATATGCCGACCATGTTCCTCATCTTATGTCCGACGATAGTGACGATAGACATATTTTCTGTGATAATCACCTGCATGTAAGACATCTTTGGTCAGTCCTGAATTCATGTAGAAAAGAACTAATGACGGGACTGCCCCAAAGAGCGAAGGCCTTACCTTTCCAAACTTCTCCAGCTCAACTCTCAACCTCTGATGTTGACAAGAGCCTTCTTCTGAGTGCTGGAACGCGAGACTCACGCTGCGCTCACTGGTAGTGACGAGGTCCGTCTTGATCCCCGCATCCTCGAGGCGATCGAAGACGCCGGACAAGAACCCCTGGGACTTTGTGTTCCTATTGCAAGCCACATTGACCAAGAGAATGTCGTCTTTGACCGTAACAGCTGTAGGCCGCCTTCTTTCCTGCCGATCGCCGTGATAGCCATTACCAAGCATGTAGTCGATGGAGGGTAGAGGGACTTTGACATCGACTTTCTCGTCTGTTGGTGTTGGAGGGGTAAGGGGCGGAGAAGGTGTTCGAGAAGGGTAGATGATCGTCCCGGATGCCGTCGGGTTGAAGACGTTCTTCAATCTCAAGGGGATATTGGCGCAACGTATTTGATCCATCGTCAAGGGATGTATAACTTCGCTGCCGTAGTACGTCAACTCTGTAGCTTCCTCCGGCGTGACTGTGGACAACAGCCTTGCCGACGGAACCTTTCTCGGGTCCGCCGTGAAGATCCCGTCAACCTCTTTCCAGATCTGAAGTTCCGCCGCTTTTGTTCCCACAGCACACATGGCCGCACATAGATCCGAGTATCCCCGACCGACGTTCTTGAGCAGCGAGTCTGGCATGATGCCAAAGAAGCCGGTGACGATGGGGACATGGTCGCCGCAGTCATGTATCCTCTTGGTGATCTCGTCTGCAATGAGGTGATAGAACCGGGGACCGAGGTTGTCCAGTGCCGTCTTCTGGTCGAACACACTAGCACCGAACACTGCTTCGACTATGTCTTCCAGGATGATAGGTTCGGCCGGGATATTTCTGCTACAGAGAAACGCGGCTACAACTCTGCACGCAAGCTTCTCTCCGAGAGCGATGACACGGTCCCGTGCCCTTGGAGATAGCTCCCCGATGATCTGTGCAGCCAGAAGGAAGCCGCGAAGGCTCTCGCATTCTTTGACAATGAGTGTCTTTGTGGAGTCGAAGATATCGTTACACAAGTCGCTTCTTGTGCCATTAGAATTGACGAGATGCTTCTCGAGGAGCCGGACATGACTATCCCGAATAGCATCAATGTTCTTGTTGAGCAGCGTCTGCGCAGAGAGTCCGGCTTCAGCGTGTGATACGCATTCAAGCAACAGGCTTGTGGTTCCGCTCGACTTGGTGGAACCGGAGAGGGCCGAGCAGACGACAACCAGGTTGTAGTCTCGCAGGTAGGATGGGACGATTTTGCTGCAGATCGACTCGAGGAGTTTTCCAAGGCTAGTACCACCGTACTTCTGCACCAGCCATGGCCTGTTTTCTCTGGAGGTCTCCATGGTTGGCGGTGGGACTAGGCAGACTGCAGGATGGCAAACCTGTCTTGCGCGCGTGGGACAGTTGGAAAGGGTCAGTTGAGCGGGAGCCGGAGAGCTGTGGACCTTGTTCGATTCAGATTGAAATGTGCTCAAGTGACTTGGCCTTATTCAACTCCATATATCGTCGTGTTTTACAGCTGCAGAAACTCAGCCGACATTCCTTTCATGGGATGGATTGCAAAGCACGACGGCAAGCAGGCAATGGCGACTCGATATCCGGCGACGACTTTGATCGGGGGGGGACTCGAGGTCGGCAACGGACGCACTCCTTCGGCCAGCATCCCAGTGTCCATTGCGGAATGGACGATTGCGCATTTCCACACCTTCGAGGCATATTTCCCAGAGAATTACTGCTATTGGAGATGCTGTTCGGGATGGGTGGAGTTTGTCCGTCGGTGAGTGCTGCATGATCGTGGGCCAAATCCCGGCTCGGGGTTTGAACACCAGAAGCCACTATGACAACGGGATTCAGCCGCTCGGCGACTGCGCAAAACAGCTTCGCTCCATCGGTTTCGGAGAGGCGCTGTTAGTTTTTGGCGCGAGCTCAAAGTGTAGCGGCATTCGGTCGGCGCGAAGTTGGCTGGTGCCAAATGTGGGATGACATATTCTGCAATCTGCGGCCGCCACCATCCATGTATGTGATTGTGTAAGTGACATCGGCGGTGATTGATCCTCGGACGAGTCGCCTGTCATTGCCCCCCGCCAACCAATGAGTTACTTCGACAGGAGGAGCTGACAAGCATCTGTGTCGGCTGCTCCCGTTGCAGACAGAGAAAGCTGCAGGCACGTTGAACAAGGGCTTCTTCCATCCTAGTCACACTCAAAGGCGTCTATGCTAGCTCCAGCTAGACTTCGTGGCGCTGGTCGATCATGGAGTATGTGCCGCTTCAACTCACACTGTAGAGAAGCATTGGCCGCCGTTCTCGTCTTCTAAACTGTGCATAGGAGACGATGCATTTGCTATGAGAAGGTTTTCCCTCGAACTCAGCGTAGACAATTTGGTATATGTTTGCCACATCGTGTTCGATATGCTTGCAAGTAATTTGATGATCTGAATATCAAGTCGTTGAGGTATCATTGCTTTCTTTGGTCGATAGTCCTGAATTCATGTCTCGAGAGAATCTCTAGTAGAGTCGCTTCGCAGGCATGGGCAATTTCATCCGTCCTGTTCTCTGCCTTCCCGCCACATGACCATGAAGCAACCGGTAGAAGATGGGGCGTATTGAAACGCTGTGTGAGCAGGCAAAAAGTCTCTTATCTACGTCGAGTGTGTTTGTTGACGTGGTAAAGCCGCTGTCAAAGGCTGCCGATAACTTTGCCTAGCGTCCCGTCCATCTGAAGGATGCCCCTAACTTCGGGCTTTGACCTAAAGCCTGAGCTACCTAAACAGCTCTACCAATCCTCGACTTCGCCCGTCAAGCTTTCCCCAGCCTCGTCTATCGTAGGAAGATCTAGGGATTCATCTGACTCATGTATCATGTCATAGAGATTCGGCAAATGAGATCTTAGCTGGGCTTGGATCAAGGTATCGAGCTGCTCAAATTCGAGTAGGAAACCGTCATGTCCATCAGATGACTTGAGAACGTGTAATGATGCACCAGGTAAGTTGGTGGCAAGCCGCTCTTGCTGCTCAGGGAGGAAAAGCGCATCGGTCTCCACGCCAATGACCAAGGCTCCCGGCGGTACTCGAGACAACACCTCTGCCAAGCCTTCATCGCCCGATGGTTGTGTCCGGCCATAGGTGACATCGTGACCGTCCATTTTGTTGGTGATGTGCAAGTAACAATTGGCGTCAAACCTGTTAATAAACTTCTCTCCTTGATAGTGTAGATATCCCTGGGCCGAAAATGATGGATTTTGTTTCCGCTGCGGGCCTCTGTCTCTCCTGGGTCTTGGCGTTTCCATGATGGACGCGCCTGTCCTCGGAAGATCTAAAGGTGGTTCCTGAGGTACCTGGGGATTCCGTGGAGGTTTTCTCCCGAAGCGGCTATCGAAACTCGTGCAAGAACGATATGTCAGCATGGCAATCATCCGAGCTGCTGCAAGTCCTGCCGAGGGTTGGCCTTCCGGGAGCGGCTCATAGTATCCGTCGTCGTACTTTGGATCGGAGTAAATGCACTGTCGTTGGGTTTCAGCCCAAGATATGCCCCAGGCAGAGTGATCAGCAGCCGTAGCAATAGGAATAATGTTTCGGACAAAACCTGATGGTGTACAGAGGGGCCATTCAAGAGTTGTCATGCCACCCATAGAGCCTCCAATGACGGCTGCTACTGACTTGACACCGAGAGCATCAAGCACCATCTTGTGTGCTCTGACATCGTCTCTGACCGTCGTCTGGGGGAACTCGCTGGCATATCGTTGGCCAGTGCCTGGGTTAATGGTCAAAGGAGACGCACTTCCGTAGGGGGAGCCCAAGACATTGCCACAGAAGATGAAAAAGTGCCGAGGGTCAAAGGCTTTCCCAGGTCCTATGAGGGGGCTCCACCAGTCGCTCACGTCACTGCTCCCCGTCAGAGCGTGGCATATGATCAGAGCATTATCACTTTGCTCGTTCAATTTTCCCCATGTTTTGTATGCGATTGGGCAGTCAAAGAGTTCTTCGCCTGACTCCAGCCGGAATGTTGGAATGACGGCGAATTTTTGGCCTCGAATGAGCCGGGAATAGAAGTTGTCGGGATTCGGATCAGAGTCGAGTACTAGTGATTGTAGTCAGTCAGAGAAGACCATTTGCGTGAGCAAAACAATTTAGTTAACACTCACAGAGAACCATCTTCAGACCTGTAGATTGGACGGACCCCCGCATGACTTGTGATTGTAAGTCGCCGTTATGTGGATAGTGTGGTGGTGATGGTTTAGGTGTTGCACACGGCACGGAGTCGAGTTCAATGACAGATTTATTCTTCAAATTTGACCGAACGAACTTGCTTCCAAGTAGCTGCAACTTTTGCGGAACTAAATTTAGATGTCGTATTGTTCTTTGCAAGTTTAAGACTCTGAAGTTCCAGGCAGTTACTGGCTCTCACTGCAAGCAAGTGCCGTCAGCCAGCCAGAAGAAGCCTCAGCAACCCCCGCCAACCGTTCCCCACGGCACAGTCTCGGACATTCATCCCTTGATACCAAGAGCTGCCTGCTTCATTGTTTCGAATACCCCTATCATCCATCGATGAAGGCCTCGATGGCGGATCACCATCTCGACCTCCGCGAGCCGGGATTTGAAGACGTCCCGGGATTTGAGCCATAATCCCGACGATCCAAACTCCGGGTTATCAAAGTCGCCTCTTTTCCGGATTATCCCGGGTGCATACGGCGAAATCGACGATCTCGAACGATAGTAAGGCCATCCAGTAGCAACGACGCCCTGTTGTGACGTGAGTCACGATGGGTCGTGTAGAGGGAGGTCCTTGAAAGCCATAACTGTTGGCACAGTGGCACCTTAGTCGCCAATCCCGGGACCTGCCAAAGTTGTCAAGCTGTACGTGATCGAAAATGGTATCCACTCGTCCTATTGTCAAGGTTGCGGCTGTCCAGGCCGCACCTGTTTCCTTTGATCTGGAGAAGAGTCTGCAGAAGCTGAGTAAGCTTACAGAGGAAGCTGCCCAAGCCGGTGCAGACTTGGTTGTATTCCCGTAAGTCCACAATGCTGTTGGTTCCGGAAGATACCGCTAAAAGCTTGAAGTGAAGGGTTCTTGTCTGCTTATCCATGGAGATACGCGTTTGACGCAACGATTGGTGCTCGAGAGCCGCGAGGTAGACTTCTGGACACCTACCCAGATAGGTAGAGGGCGCCGCTAATTCCTGAATCCTAGGACGCGAGTGGTATGCCAAGTACGTTGATTCGGCCGTCGAGGTTCCCTCTCCCGCCTTCGATAGGCTTTGCGAAACAGCCAAGGCAAACAGCGTCCTCCTTCATGTGGGAATTATCGAAAAGGCGGGCGGTACGCTGTACTGCACTGCTCTGCTTCTCGACCGGGAGGGCAAGCTGGTGTATAAGCATCGCAAGGTGACACAACCGATCCATCAAGTCATGTTCGAGACTAACAAGCCTAAGCTCATTCCAACGGCCGCCGAGAGACTTGTTTGGGGTCGAGGCGCCGGAGATGGCCTCTTAGTCAAGCCAACGGATGTTGGCAGAGTCGGAAGCTTGATCTGGTTGGCTGCTCCTGTTTCCAAGTGTATTTGTGGAAAAATGTGCTGATCAAAACGTAGCTGGGAGAATTATATGCCGGCGGCTCGCATGGCGATGTACCAGCAAGGCATCGAGTATGTGGATCTGTTCTGGTGTCGTATTAGTCGCTGACGTTGACAACCCACACTCGATAGGATTTACGTGGCGCCCCACGCCGATGATTTGGCCACCTGGACAGCATCGATGCAGCATATTGCAAAGGAAGGACGATGCTTTGTAGTGTCTGTCAACTCGTTCTGCAAGGTATCGGACTTCCCGCCTGACTACCCGCCTTTCACGGCCGAACACCCCGATCGGAGGCCGGACGGAGCACAATGGGAGGCGGATGATATTCTCAACCACGGTGGCTCATGCATCGTCGGGCCGCTGGGCACATTTCTTGCCGAGCCGGTGTGGGACAAGGAAGAGATTGTCTATGCCAGCCTCCGAATGGCAGACATCACGGAGTCCAAGGTAAGTTCCCCGATACAGGCTGCGGGTTTCCGCTAGTCATGAGATAGATTCCAAACTAACGGCGCCTTGCAGCTGGACTTTGACCCCATCGGCAGCTACTCCCGGCCCGACATCTTGTAAGTAGTCCCTTTTACGACATTGACGAGTGACAAGCCAGACAACCCTGAATGTGATGTGCGCCGATCAAAAGCTGACAAGTCGTCTCAGTTCGTTGACAGTCAACACCAAGCCAGCCGACAACGTCGTATTTACCAGCTGATATCCCATGCGTATTGAGCATGTTTGCGGGCAACGGCGGCGTGGGGGTGTGGACGGCAGGCGGGGTGCGGTGCGGAGTGACCAGGATGTTGTGCGCTCGCGATTTATGGGACCTGACTCGGAGCTTGGGTGTTGGAGGTTGCTCGGCTGCAGGGTCAGGAATGCCAGCCAGGCTTGAGGCGAGACGGCGATGTTGGTTGGTCGCACCAAAGTTCGAGAAGCTTTTCTAGATGTCCAAGCGAGCATGTTGGTCCGACGATATTTGACACAGAGGCGTGCCACCTGTTCTTGTGTGGCCAAAATGGCCTCGGCTCATTATGTCGTACACAGTCGACAGTAGAGCCTTGCTGGGTAGAAGCGGCTTGTCAGCGTTGATAGGCTGAAGCTTTCATCTTGGATGCATCGGATACTTGGAGATAAGATGGCATCCTGATTGGAATACACTGCCTCCTGACGAGTGGACGACTCAGAAGGAATACGTGAGAAGTCTAATCCGAAGCTTAGATGCTGACAAAGAGCTACTAATCAATTCTGTTCTTGGTCGAGTAAGAGAGAAGGGAGAACAAAACGTGATGTCGAGACGATCCGAGTTGTGGTCCAAAGGAATCTTGCGGTGCTGCTAGCACAACTGGCAGCGGCATAGATGGCATAATTTTGGTTGCTAGTCATGCTAGAATTCGTTTCGACAACCGCTTGGAGTTCTAGAACAGGGAAAGGCGACCATCCGGACATTTGATGGGGACACAGAGAAGAGTTGCGGAGTATTCTGTAGAAATGCGGAATTGACGTCAAAAAGTCGACACGCTCGGGCTCTGAAGTCGGGTGTTAGGGACGCGGTGCCAACGGCGAGCAGACGGCGAGGCCGCAGCAGGAAGGAACGGCAGGTTCCATGCACCTACAAGTAAGGAGGCGAATGTAGGTAGGTACCTTCCGTGCGTGAATGCCACCATGCCAGGCGAGCGACGGTCGGTTTGTGTGGTTGTGTCAGGTCAAGTCAGGAACGGGGGGGTTTGGCTGCTTGGAAAGGTAAGAGCAATGAGCATCCACGCACCCACGGCACCTTCTCTGAGAGACTGTGTTAGACGGGAGGTACAGAGAGAGATACATGGTACTGTGCGACTCGAGAAAGTTTGCTGTGCGTGATCCCTGTCCAAAGACCGGCCCAGCCAGCTGCAACACTGTGCGCAAGTTTTTCTCATTGGGCCAAGTCTTCGGTACGTATATCATGACTTTGGTGCGTCTAACCAATGCGATTGGCCAACTCTGTCGTCTATCCAGGGATTTTCTCCACTACCTTCTCCACCCTGCCCTTCACCCCGGGACAGTGACACCCACGCACCTTCTCCATCTCAACTCCCGAGAGAGAGGAAGGAGGGGAGGAAAGAACTCGAAAGGATACAGAGGCGTGAGAGAGGGAAAGGCAGAAGCGAGCGAGAGAGGGACCAAAACAGAAAAAGTACATGCACAATTCCCAACGATCCCAGACAGCCCTGCCTCTTTGCCTGGTCTTTTGAAAATTGAAAGTCGCAGCGTGCCGTCCTAGCCCTGTCACGATCGAACGATCCGCAGGTCGCCTTCCCCCACCCTTCCCTGTCCAGTCAAACTGCTGCCCGTCGTGCCTTCTCCTTACAAATCCCACCCGGTCGCCGCATTTTGCCCCTCTGTCGCCGACTTGAGAAGGAAAGGCACGAAGCAACGGGAAACAGCAACAGCTCCTGCCTGCACTTGCACCGCACCCAAGCCGACCTGCATCTGCACCTGCCTACGCCTGAGCGCCTGCCTGCATCAACAGCCCAGCACCTGCCTGCCAGCACCCGCACACCGTACCTGAGGTTTTTGGGTATCACCAAACTGCAAAGGAAACTACGACTGCAATTGCACCTGACCAGCTGGCGACACCGGCCGCGACAACCTGCCCACCTGTCGCCTGTTCTTCTCCCCTCCGTTTTTGCCGTCCAACTGTCAACACCCTCGAAGCTCCAGTTCACTCTCCGGCCCGGCCGTGGCAGACATCCATCCAGTCATCCACACCTCGACTCACCCAGCGCTTCCCCCCGTGTCGCTGCCATTTCATCTTGTTACGTACCCAATCCCGCGATACCGACGTTTCCGCGCGCCGTCTCGAGTCCAGACACCTTATTTACCCGTGGATCGCGCAAACAAGGCCCCAAGCCCGGACGACTCCGCCCCCGCTCCGTGTGACAATCCCCGATCCGCCCGGAAGGATTCTCGTCTCGCTCAATTTCGCCTGCCGTAGCCATCGGTCTCTCTCTCTGACCAACGCAGTTGACCTCACTTGATCCCGTCCGTGTATCCTTATTATCACATTCGGTCATGAGCACAATGACAGAAGCCGTTGTACCTCCTGGCCCGGCTTCCGCAGCTAAGAAGAAGTTTGCTACCCCCCCGGTAAAGATTGCGTGCCTCGCCTGGTAAGCCTTTCTCATCTACTACTCATCGAGAGGGAGTATTGGTCAAAGTCGTCGGTCAAGACACGACCGCTACTTTGACCAAGACACATACATCTCGGTTCGGTTACTCACAAATACATAGTCGAGCTTCCCGTACACGATGCGATGGAGCAAGCCCATGTGCTAGTGTAAGTTTCTATCCCCGGCTCGATCCATTGCTCCAGCCATGCATGAAAATCAGCGACTGACATGATGCAGTGTAAAAGCAGGGGACGCGATTGCGTCTTCAAGCCCAGCAGAAGAGGCGGCGCCCGCGTGAGGCGAAAGCCGCGGCCGGCTGAAGAACTGGCCCAGCAGGTTCAGGCGTTCAATGGCGAGATGCCTCCAGACGAGGTCACTCATCAAGATCGTGAGTCTTTGCGCTTGGGATCCTCGTCCGAGCAGCTCTTGACCGATGCTACAGCCATCTCTGTTCAAAACTATATCGACCCTGGCGCGGGCTTGAAGCAGTTGCAGGACTTCTTCCAAGACAGCGACTTCATCTTCGATACTCTCTTCATGTCGGGCGTTCCTGGCAGTACCAGCGGCGAGAGCGCATCCGAACACTCATTTACCTTCCCGACGCCTCAAATCCCAGTCGCCAGAACGTATAAGAGTGACCAAGCCATGTAAGAAAAGCAGAGATCCCTTTCCTGCACCTCCAAGAGAATGCCAAAATTGACAATCAAACAGCCTCGATGCGTACTACATCTTTATCCACCCCTTCTTCCCTATTCTTCCTGCTCCTTCAGGCCTGCCCATGGATCAAGCTGTGCCGCATTTCCAAAATGACACGGAAGGCTTCGCAGACGAATATCAGCCATCAACGCCGATCAGTTTGGCCATTTCTGCGATCCTCGCGTTGATTCCGTATCACAACGATACCAACCATCTCAACAAGGAGTCGGTAGTTTTCCGTCGGAGGTATGCGCAATACCTAGCACAATGCGCCATCGAGAGCATCGAGATTGAATCGGAAATTCCGGATTCGTCCATTGAGCCACCCAAGGCACTCAACGAGTCTCCAGACGATTTCCCCAGGCAGCAATTCCACCCAGGTGTGCCTATCGAGCTGGAGAGTGTCATCGCTTTGGATATCCTCAGTGTCTATGAGTATGCGCAACGGGGCAACCTGAAGAAGATGCAGGCACGAGCAGGCCAAGCCCTGGTTGCTGCCATGTCTTTGTCCATCCACACTTGCGCCGAAGAGGATGCGTTCTCAGAAGCGAGGCGGAGAGTCTGGTGGATGACGGTGCGTCCCTCTTGCTCTGCTTCACAACACAACTCGCTAACGATTATTACAGTACATCTGCGTTTGTCAAGGATCGATTGTCAGCAATTCGGTACGTCCTCATAGTCACGCGCTAGGTAGGAGCGAATATTCACATGCCATCTAGGAACCAACGTTCTCAGTGTTCACCCCAAGCTACACTGCCAAATACCCCGTGATACAGTCGGATCCTGAGGTATGTATCATGACGAATTGGCTACGATTCATGCTGACCATTCTCTAGGCTTTTGCTGTCTATATCCAGGCACAGCAAGCGATCCTGTCAGCAACCCAATTTGTCATCGAGCTAAACAAGACTGTAAAGTCCGGCGGTGACATGGCACGAATCTATGCGCGCATGAAGGAAATGGAGGCATACCTCGAACCCCTCAACACGATGGCCGACTCTTGGATCCTTCAGTCTACGACAACGACGCCACTGGATCCTACGGAGGAGGTCTTGTCCCGCTCCCTCCGCTGCATGGCTCGAATCAAACTTAACAGGTAAGAATCTACGTCTCCTTCCAGATCAGGTGCAATTGCTGACGGCCAACAGCGCACGAATCAAACTCCACCGATATTGCGCTTTCTTTGACATGCCCGTCTTTTCCGGCAAGTACTGCGATCTCAAGTCCAAAGCCGACAACGATGCCAACATGGAGCCACGGAGCTGGCCATCATGCTCTTGCAGCTCCATGATGAGCTTGCCATCACCACCAGTGGCCATATCAAACGGATCGACTACGCCACCGGGGAAGAAGTCTCCTCACTCGGAACATTCGCCCAGCAGCCAATCGCCAGCGACGTTTCCCTTTAGCAGTCATCAGTCGGCCAAGATCTGTCTCAAAGCGGCCATCAACATCTCACAATCCTTTGATGACCTGCCGTATCCAAATCCCTTTGGTCAACTATGCCCCGCCCCTTGCTATCTGGCCCCCACATCAACAATCGTTTGTCCGAGGACGATGCCCTCGTTCGCTTGCTGTGCTATGCAGTGCGCGTACGCGTTGCTTATGGTCAATCACAAGACCAAGGCCATGTACCCGGAGAACGCACTAGCCACTCCGATGGTGGAAAGCCTCCTGATGCGACTGCAGACGGGGCTGGCCTCTATCTCGGCGACACTGGAAAATTATGCCACGGCGTTTGAAGCACTCGGTGGGATGCGCGGTAAGGAAACCCCTCAAAATTTGCAGACTTGGCTTGCCCCTTGTCATTTGGCCCATTGCTTTTTTCGTTGTTGCTAACGTCATGCCGCAGACCAAATTCGGAGTGTCATCGAACCCACCATGATGTTTGACGGACCGGTCCAGTAATGGCCCGATCGGCACGTCGCCTCCAGTTTATCCCCAGTCTATCTGCAGACTGCCTAGTGCCTCGCATCTCGCCGGGCGCCCGCATTGTTTTGTTTCTAACGGCATCTGACGACATCCCGATATGGGATCTGAACACGGCCTCTGGGTGGAGTCTCGGGAACGTCTGGGAAAAAGGGGGGGAGGGGGCTTTTGCGGGGTTTGCTCACTTATCAGCAAAGACCGGAGATCGAGAGAGCTCCGACATGCAACAAGCCGCAATCTGTGCGCCCATCTGAGGGGTATCGAACGACTGAAACGAAGTGATGCATTTTGATCCAAGGGCGTTGAGGAAACATTTAAGATTTTGTCATTTGCCATGATGGGACGACAAAAAGTTGGAACGGCAGCTTTCAACAGAGAATTCGGAGTTGGACTAGGAACCGGAACGAACTATTAGACTACTACCCCTCTCAAAACATATTTTTACCACCTTCAAGATGCCTGTGTCCGGATCTCTTAGCAACGTGGACTGGTGAGAAGCCCGTTCGGCCTTTGCCTTGAGACACACTGCTACCTGAAGCTAACAACATTGGCCAACTAGGGAACCAAGCTTCTCCACGCTTGCAGTCCACGGCGGCCAAGAGCCCGACCCAGTCAACGGCTCCCGAGCTGTGCCTCTGTACCAGACAGCCGCCTACAACTTTACAGATGCCGCAGGTCAGCAGCTTCATCCTCGGACCGGTCACGCAATACATGTATGCATCTACTGACGTCGAAGTACAGATGGCGCCAGCAAGTTCGCATGGAGCAAAGATGGCTACGTCTACACGCGCATGGGCAACCCGACCAACAGTGTCTTCGAGACGCGCATGGCGATGCTCGAGGGCGGCGTTGGTGCCGTGGCCGCGGCGTCAGGCCACGCCGCGCAGTTCATGGCCCTGACCAACTGCTGCGAGCCGGGCCAGAACTTTGTTAGCACCAGCTGGCTGTACGGCGGCACGTACAACCAGTTCCGAGTGTACATGAAGAAGTTCAAGATCGACGTCAAGTGGGTCGTCGGCAACGAGCCCGCCGATATTGACGCCGCCATTGACGAGAACACGCGATGCGTCTACATTGAGACGATCAGCAACCCGAAGCACAGCGTCCCGGATATCAAGGCCATTGCGGACGTGGCGCACAAGCACGGCATCCCCCTCATTGTCGACAACACATTTGGTATGGGCGGGTACCTGTGCCAGCCCATCAAGCAGGGCGCCGACATTGTCACACACTCTGCTACGAAGTGGATCGGCGGCCACGGCACATCGATGGGCGGTATCGTCATCGACGGCGGCCACTTTGACTGGAGCGCGTCGGGCAAGTTCCCCGGGTTCACGGAGCCGGCGGACGGATACCACGGGCTCAAGTTCTGGGAGACGTACGGGTACAAGGCGCTCTCGGCAAAGCTGCGGATGGATAGCATGCGTGATCTTGGACCGTGCCTGAGTCCCTTCAACGCCTGGCTTCTGCTCCAGGGTCTGGAGACGCTTGCCCTGAGAGGAGAGAGGCACGCCGAGAACACGCAGAAGCTGGCCGAGTGGCTCGAGGCACACCCCAGCGTCAACTGGGTGCTGTACCCTGGCCTCAAGTCGCATCCCGACTACGAGTACACCAAGAGGGTGTTTACCAATGGCGCGGGTGGTGTCTTGACCTTTGGCGTTGTAAGTTGGCCCCAGATGATAACCCCAGTTGGAGGTAATCACTAACCATTTCACATCCAGGCCGGAAACATCGAACAAGTCCGTTCCGTCGTCGATAACCTTAAGCTCTGCTCGCACCTGGCCAACGTGGGCGACGCAAAGACGCTCATCATCCACCCCTGGGTGACGACGCACCAGCAGCTGCCCGATGAGGAGAAGATCAAAGGAGGCGTCACCCCGGACCTCATACGCGTGTCGGTCGGTATCGAAGGGTTCGAAGATATCAAGAAGGACTTTGAGCAGGCGTTTGACAAGGCCGGGTTGCCGGCGGCGACCAAGGCGGGCGGGGATCCTTTCTCCAAGGCGCTGAACCTCGTTTCGGGCGGGTTCATGGGGAAGGCGTCGACGGGCGCGCCTAGGCCTGGGACGGATGGAACTATTTCTGTCGAGGCTTGAGGTGTTCCTGGGAAAGCGTGGCTTTGGGAGGTTACTTTGATTTTGTGTCTGGGCGTGCAGGCGGATTGAAAGATGAGTTCCATGTGTAGGAAAGAACTATGGTAGATACCTAGACACTATGGCTGCTCAGGACAGCAATGTAACGATCATCTTGACTACTTGAGTAAGCACTTCATGCAAGTTTGCGATGAATGTTGCCGGTGGGCGTGAGACTGCGGTATCACAACGTTCGCAATCCCCTTGCACGGCTTTCTTGGGGTGGTACCTGAAAAGTACCTCAGGTACCTAGGTAAGCAGTCGCTTGTGTGGCAGGAGGCACAGGCATGGACACTCGCGCTTGCCAAATGATCTTGAGCTGCGATACCCCTCTGTCCCGTCCCAGCCGTGCCCCGCGCCGATTCGTCTTCCGTCACCTTTGTGCGATTACATCATCAGTCGCAACCTCAACGCCGTCACTCCCCTCAACGACATCTCATCTACACATTCAGACACCGTAGAACATCAAGTTCCACTCACAAGGACAAAAACACCTTGTTCAAGGGAAAAGACCACAACACAAGCTCTTCAACATTCCCTGAACCAATACCATCAACATACCGCGCCTACCTGCTTTGACACCCCGGAAGCCAACCATGGGCTTCATCCCGCCACACATGCTCAAGGCCAAGGCCGCGAGCCAGAACGTCTCTGCTGAAGAGCGGGAGGCGTCAAGGAAGACGATGGAGATGGATGCTGCTAGGCAGGCGCAGAGGGAGGGTGGGGAGGAGGGGAAGACGAGTGGTGGTGAGAGTTCGACGGAGGTGAAGGACGCGCAAAAGAAGGGTGAGGAGGGGGAGAAGAAGTAAAGGATGGAGGAAGTTGGAAGTTGGCGCTCTTGAGATTGGGAGACGCGCGCGGCTGGACGAGATTTTTATGACTACGAAAGGGCGGAACAAAAATGAACACCAAACTGGACCCTGAAGAAGGAATCGAGACAGGGAGCGGACAAAAAAATGTACGTCAAAAGTCTTTCAAGCTTGGCGAGAACAATGGCCAACAACAGCAGCCCTGAAACCTAAGCAACTGAATCAAATCGCATTCCTTATTCTTCTGAACCCTTAGATGAGAGACCTGCCATCACGGGCTGAAAGGTTGACGGATGCAAAGGCGATCTCAGCTTGATGGGAAAAGGGCATGTCACCGGTAATATTTCGTCCCAATTTCCCCAGAAAACAATCCAGGAACCAGTCAAACCTGAATTACTGACCAGTAATCATCAAAGTTAGAAGACAGATCCACTCGCGCGTCCCAGTCCCAACCAACCGCAGCAGGCCCAGATTTTCCCATCTGACCAACACGACGAGAATCAGTCGATGCGAAAACAAGCGGCGGACCCTTGCAGCGCGGGAGTTCTCGGTCCCGCCGGGGCAGCCCAAGACCTGAAGAATCACACGGTCGCAACGGCGTCCTGCGGCGGATCGCCCTACACATTCACCCCGCTAAAGCATCCGCGGTGGATCCCGCCCGCCAGCCTGGCTCTGCGGCGCTCTGCCCAGCTTCCCTGGACCTGGTCAGCACCCGTTAGGGTAGACCAGAAAGTGGTGCGACTTTGGCACAAACCAGAACATCAGACCACCATCGGCCGGTTGGCCCTCTGCCCGACGATAGGGACTGCACCACGCAACTTTGCAAGTCAATGAGGGATCAGGTCATTGAATTCTTCTCGGCGCATGATGACGCAGGAAGAAAGGTTGGGGTCTTGCGAAGACATGTCGTCCCGTTAATGGCCAGTTAGATGGGGACCCTTTCCCGTCTCATTCAAATATCGCGGGGTCCCCTTTTTCTGACGCATTTGGGAGGGTTGAAATGGGTTATTGAGAAGAACCATTCACGATTCGAGCATTACCAAATCGACAAGACGACGACCACCAGTTTCGAATTCCGTATATCTTCATCGAAAAGAGCTTCTAGCGATACTTCCGAGGCATTCGGCTAGCATTGGGAATCTTCGAACACCAACACCAAGATCACCCCAAGTCTCGTCCCCGCCATAGCGAAGAAACCGCCAAGATGGGTCTCATGAGGCACATGAACCACATCGACCGCGAGGAACTCTACACAGACCTCGAGGCCCGCATCCGCTACCTCCACAGCTTTCTCGACTTCAGCAGCAGTACGTCAGCCTTCACAACCGTCAGAGCCTCTCCCAAGTTACACCTGCTAACCAAACCCCACTTACAGAAGACATCGAGGCCCTCATCCACGGCGCGAAATACGTCAAGGCCCTCATCCCCGCCGTCGTCAACATCGTTTACCACAAGCTGCTGCAGTACGACATCACCGCCCGCGCCTTCACCACCCGCTCCACCTCCTTCGAGGGGCCCATGGACGAGGTCCCCGACGACAACTCACCGCAGATTCTGCACCGCAAGATGTTCCTCAGGGCGTACCTGGCGAAGCTGTGCTCTGATCCGAGCAAGATGGAGTTTTGGGAGTATCTCGACAAGGTTGGGTATGTTATCCTGTCCCACACGGTCCACCTCTATCCCCGTAGACTTTGTTGCGCCGTTGGCAAGAGACAACAGACAGCTAACGACACGGCAGAATGATGCACGTAGGCCTAGGCCGCAAACACCCCCTCAACGTAGAATACATCCACCTCGGCGCCTGCCTCTCCTTCATCCAAGACATCATGACCGAAGCCATCCTCTCCCACCCGCGCATGGTCATGCAGAAGAAGATCGCCCTCGTCAAGGCCCTGGGAAAAGTCATCTGGATCCAGAACGACCTCATGGCGAAATGGCACTGCAAAGACGGCGCAGAGTTCCAGCGCGACGGCGACGAGGATGGGGAGGGGATCGAGATTGAGGAGGAAGGGTACCTTCACGGGAAGAAGATTTTGGAGAGCGAGAGTGATGAGGAAACTGCTGTTAATGGGGTGCCTGGTGGCAATGGGCCGAAGTCGCCTAGCAGGTTACCTACGAGGAGGCCGAATAGTCCTGGCAGTGGAGGGGTGTGTCCGTTCACGGGGATCTCGGCGGGGATGGAGGGGATGAAGGTGTCGGAAAGCAAGGCGGAGAAGGAGGAGGGACCGCAAAGGGTTGAAGCTTCTGTTTAGGTTGATGTTGAGAGGTGTTTTGTAAAGATCTTTTGCATTGCTTGGGTGCATGGTCGGATGGCGTTTGGGGTTTATAGGAATAGGTCTCGGCTCAACATTCACGACTTTTACTGTTCGATTTCTGTCAGCCTGGTGTGACTTCAATCTTCTGGCGGTGGGGCGAGAGCACTGGGAGGTGCTGCATGTAAGTGAGGGAATTGTTTTACGAGTCTATTTACATGATGAGGGATCGATGGGGAGCGAAAGGGTGAGAACTTCTCTTTCTCAACCACATTCATAGATATCTCTCAGGTATGATTCAAATGCCACGTTAACTAACAAGTGGGTTCAAATTGCCAAGTGCCTTAGATGGAGGACCTCACATGAGGTCGGTGCCACTTCTTCCTCGTCAACGATGGTATTTACCTTTTTGTTTTTTCACACCCGCTCATGCCTAGAGCAGCCATCGCGCCTTCCCACTTGCTTTCTGATAACACTACCTTATCAGAGTAGCTTTTTCCGAATCCTCCGTGGAAGCCCCTGCCTATTTCTTCTTTGCACAGCCTGTCTCAAACCTTCCTCACTTCGCCGTTTTGTGAGGGCATTCGGAATCTTCAGCGCCACTGCCGATTCTTGCTTCACTTTCCCCCATCACCTACCTATCGATTGCATCGACGTCTGCTGCATCTTTGTACCTCGAACAAGGGCGAGCACGATTTGGTCCCTCTGCTTCTTCTTTCGTTTTCGTCACCAAGATTTCCCGTCTCCTTGGCCCCGGCCTCGCCTCGTGATACGAGCCTCCATCCCCGACATATTCAGCTGGCAATAACTCGACGACCCTACATTGAAACGATGCGTACCACGTCACTGAAGAGTTTTGGAAGAAGTGGAAGCCAGTAATCCTGACAAGAAGACATCACTCCTGCGATAGCTCGTCCATCACTCAACAAACAACAAACAACAAACAAGCTATCAACAGCATCTGCATTTCACCAGCATAATGACAACCAAGGTTTGAATTCTATCAAGATATCATCTAGTGATCAGAGCTAAACCAGTTAGTTGATTCCATTCCTCTTGAAACCTCTGCGTGTTACGCCTGGAGTAGCCGCCGGCCCAATGCGCACATTCTCTACAGGAACATCGCAAATGAATCGAACGAATGCTTTTCCGTTTCGCAGGTCTAGGAGCTCAGAACCCGACAAAAGAATACAAGAGTGTGTGGAGAGAAGCGTTGTAAATGCCATGGAGAAATCTCCCACGATCAAGGCTTTGATAAAATCAATCGAAGCAAATACAAAGCAACATTCAACGTTCATGCTTGACACCCGCAACAGTCTGAAGGAACTCACCCACAAACAAGATACGATGAACAACCGACCCGAAACAATGACTGAGAAGATCGATGTCCTTGCAAAAGCTTCTCAAGAATCATTTTGGAACCGTAACTTAGCCTAGACGGCGTCGGCTCTGAAAGTAAGTTTCTCTTTATCTTGTTTTAAGTATCTTGCTAACATCTCTTTTAGGTATTCGTCTCAGCGGGGGGACTGTCATGGCTGATAGCGCACATCCGCCCACCAAGTCCCGATGATGACTGGACGCTTATGACCTGAGCAGCACAGCAGCAGAGCAGCAAAGAGTTATGGCAGTTGAAGTAGGCATTCTCGGAGTAGCAAGACACCGTTTCAAGTAGCGGTTACAATGAATCATCTCGTACCAAATGCACGAACTGCAATACCAAACACCCTAAACGCCATCCAACCATGCACCTAAGCAATGCAAAGAATTCTTCCAAAACACCTCCCAACGTCTTCTAAACTGAAGCTTTGATGATACGTCTGCCATCACTGAAGATCTTGGTACACTCTTATATTCTACATTCCCAGCGGACCTAAAGACTAGGCAGACAAAGGCCAGAAGGCAT